ATCTAGGAAGTAACCATCTAGGAAGTTTTATAACTACCATCTAGGAAGCAACAATGAAACTGCCCAGTGACTCGTAACTTCTTCCTGCTGCTTCCCAACAAAACTATGGAGTCATAAAAACACTGAAGCTTTTGGGAAGGCAACATCAGTTTATACTCAGCTCATGTTTTAAAAGTTTACATGTTCTATATCACACACAGTTTTACAATACATGCGTCCCTCAGGTGAAAAAGCTTCTCATTTGCCACTAGATGAAGAGATTTATTTATTTATTTTTAATAAATGATGAAATCTTATGTTTTGTCAGGGTACCGCCCAAAGCACACAACTCCAGAATTCTGCTGTTCTCAACAAGCAAGTGGCTTTTTATAAAGTAGAGGAAAATGATTTTACAGTTCTCAACTTTGCCTCAATGCAGACTTCCTTTTTGTGAAAAAAATGGGAGGAGGTGGTGTGAAGGAACACACTTAGAACAGTCCTAGGTGAGTGTCCTACTCACAGGGCCAATGGATACCCCAGGAGGGTGTCCATCTGTTTTTGACCAGAAACTCCATTCAGACTCTGAAAACAACTTTCAGTAGAAGTGCCATTGAAAACAATTACCCACAAAAAGTTAGTTTTGATAAATCGATTTATTCCAGTAAGGAGCCATTTAGTCAAAAAAGAGCCCCCAACCTGCTCTTCTTGCACATTATAGAATGTTTCCCTGTTATCATTCACTTTTCATCTTAAAGCTACCTAACAAAAGAGATGCGCATTGCAGTATGGCAAAAAGGTTTACACTTACCATGCAAGACACTAGGTTATCATACAAACCAAGACCTTCCCTCAGGAAAACAAGGAACTTGTTTGGATGGTAACATTTGAAATTAACCAGATTCATTAGAGTGACTTGTATATAAATTTGTTCCCTAATTCCCACCCCCTCCCACAAAGTTCAAATCAGAGAATTTAAAGTTTTCCCACAATCCATTCTACCTCCTCAATTCCAGAGTGGATGCCTATTTGCCCAAAATGTTTAGTACAGGGGTTGGCAACCTGCTGCCCACAGGCTAGATCTGACCAGTGTATAGACTGGATCCAACCTTCAGCTGCTCAAGAACTCAGCTGTATACTCCAGCCACAGCAGCAACAAAGGCGTCCCCAGGGTCCTACTGCCTGTCCGTTCACTGTGTCCTCTCTGCTGCAGCGTCCCCAGGGTACTAGCACCTGTCTTTTTCTAGCTATTACCTTCACAACATCCACTGAGCACAGAGGCGTGCTCAGGTGCATCCTAAAGTGAGGGCTGGGTCACAAGTAGCAGCCTATGGTGGCAAAAGGGTTGCCAACGTCTAGTAGTTTAGTACACTGGTTCCTAGTCTGTTGAAGTTTTATGATGTTACAATAACAAAGTGTTAATAATAGTAACACACACCTACAACTGTTTATATGTTGACATATGCTAATATTTAACTTGTCTGCATAATCTGATTTGACTGGCATGGTACAGTGAAGAGATGAAAATGGCATCCTGCTTGCAGCAATGAATGCGGGCATATTGTGGCTTCAAATAATACAAAGTTGTTGAATACAGGTAAAGGAAATGTAATGTATCTTTTTTCAAACATATCAGTGTGTCTAAATTACTGGGGAAAAAAATGTACAAATTCATAATACCTTTTTTTAAAGTTTCCCCATCATAAGACCGATTAAAAGATCCCTGGAAGTAGCAGCTTTCATTTAAATAGTTAAAATGAAAGTTCTTTAGGGCAGTTTTTTAGGTATACAATGCTTAACACGAGGCCTCTAGGTATCATCAAAACAAATAGCTACAAAGCACAAGTAGATATGTGCACTGATAATTCTGTACACAGACATAACGGTTTTTTGCACACAATGCTGCCTTAATTATAAAAGTAAAAGTTGTCTTCCTCTCAGAGTTGATAAAGGACATACTTTCTTAAAACCACAGAGCTAGAAATAATCCAGTTCACGTAAAAGCAGCAACCTAATTTCTCATTGTTCCCCATATATGAATGCAAACAGCAGACTGAGTTCTTACAGAGACAGGAAAGAGTAGAGATTTTGTATTGTGACATCCTCCCTGCAAGAAAGCTAACTGATGGAACCAGCTCAGTAATATAATCAGTAATGTCTGACCAAAAATAAAACAGAAACAAATCCCAACTCCACCAATGCAAAGACACAATGATGCAAATGGATTAGCATAGCTGGGCTATTACATAAAGGAAAACCACATACCACTTAAGAGGTAATATAGTTCCAACTGCTGTGAGCCAGTCCAGAGAAGAAACATTTCAATAGCCATGTTCAACTGCAGTAGAAAGAGTATTTTGGACATGGGGGATCGCTACCTACACACAGTAGCTTCCCCAAGAAGAAGTTGCTGGAAAGAGCTTGATCTAAAGAAGGACAAGGATCCTCTCTCAAAAGATTGACATTTTCCCTGTTCCCACCAATCAAAGAGTCACAAGAATAAAATAAAGGATATGAAATCCGTGTGAAATCTTCCTAGAGTTCAAAGGGGGCTCTTGCAAGGGTTTTTAGAATAGAAACCCTTTAAGTTATGGTGAGCTCAAACTAAGGTTAGCTCTATAAGATACCATTAAGAGTCTCTCCCTCTGAAATGGGATCCCAACAGGAACCCTCCAGGACAAGGGGATACCACTGTAAGATACAAGACAAAGGGCAGTGACAATAGGGCCAGTCATTAAAAATACTGGTGTGTGAATGTACATCACAGGAACCATTCTGCAAATTACTTGCAAAGCACTGAGGTGACAGATCTCAGGCAGAAAAGGAAAAACTACTTGTAGCTGCTGGCATGGAGGATATGTGGTAACTTGTGGCACAAGGAGGTGGGATATGTCCCAGAAATTACCTTTAGAGTACACTTTTCTGAAATGCCTCTCCAACCACCCATGTTGCATGAGAAGCTTCAGTATTTTAGCATGTGAAAGTAACTACATCAATCGGAGAGATATGAATGAATTAAACAACTGGGGAATACTTTAGGGAAAAGTCAGCAGACATAGAAGAGAGCTAGCTCACCTGAAGCCAAATGCACCCAGAAAATCACCACAGAAAATCTGCAGGACTTTGGGGGACGATTTGAACTAGGAGTTGGGAAGAAGAGCAGGATAGATATCTGCTACAGAAATATCAAAGTAGTGTTATAACCTTTAAAGGATCCAAAACCAATATATTAAGGTAAATGGAGGCATTTAATGTACTAGACACAATCAATGAAGTTAAAAGTTCAGAGATCCAGAAATAGATATTAAAGAATGAGTTAACAACACCCCAACCAACCAACCCCACAAAGTCCAAAGAAACCCCAAACCCAAAAACCTACACCACTGCATCTAAAAAAGTAGACGTTGCAATAGACTACATGAAGTCTACTAGCAATTTTGCTAGGGATTGTAAAGGAAATCAGCTTGGATACTGCAGTAATAGTGGTAGTATAAAAATTTCAAGCCAGAGGACTACCACTATCCAATGTGGAGAAAGGAAGAGAAAAAATTGGAGTGACCTGTAAAAGACTTTCTAGTAGTGAAGCTTCCAGATCTGACAGTGACTATAAGGAGAGAAGGGGAAACAGGAATGCATTGATTGACAGCAAGGAGGACCGCCAAGATGAAAGCTTGAATTGAACAGAGAGGTGCCTCTATTCTTGCTCTAACCCAGGACTGAGCAGAACTAAATAGACACTTTGCAGAGAATGAAGCAGACAGGAAATAAGCAGGTTCAGCTAACCTGCTTCATAAGAGCAACAATACAAAAGCTTTACTCTTTTCCTTCTCTCATCTCCACCAGGAAGAACAGTTTACCACCACCTAGGTTAGCATAAAGGGACAGTAAAATTAAAAAAGAAAAACTCACTTTATAATTTTCTGCCTTACACAAGTGTAAAGAAATATTTCTTCTCACAACCTCTAATCCTACCTATTCCAAGTAGGGCATGCTGACACCTTAGTATCTAACTCAGTGGTTCTCAGCCTTTTTAGACTTGAGGCACCCCTCACTATATTCAAGGCACTCTTCGATAGAATTGAAACTCCTTGGAAAATGCCAGCTCCGAGTTTTCACTCAATTTTTTTTTTTTTACTATAGAAAAATAAAGCAATTCTGCTGCAAGGAACTCAGAAAGACCACAATGGGTCAGAATGTTTTAACACTATGGATTCCTAATGGAAAACTCTCAGGTTCTCTTGTGAATCATGTTTGCACACCTAGCACTGTTAACACTGCATGGCAACCCACAGCACCTTGAAAGGATCTCAAGGTACCCCAGGATGCCACAGTACTGATCTAACTGGTTTGTAAAGGCCTGAGCTTTCATAGGCAACAACCTATTTTATCACATACTATGACATCTGTTCTTACATATGTTAAGTCCCAATACTCCCATTGTGGCAACATGAGGAAATACTATGGGAATCACTAGTGACATAGTTCTTCATTTAAACTGCATGGGCACACTACCATTGCTACTTATAGAACTACTATGATAGCACCAATCTGGTAGGAAAAGTTTAAAAAAAACCCCTGAAAGACAAAAGGGTTTAGTATTTAAAATTTTGCTTTTGTAAAGTTGTTGCCAAGTATTTAAGTCTGAACTTCCACAGGATTACTTTACCAGCAAGATCTGAAATAGACAAGCTTTAGAGTCAAAATGAAGGAATCAGGAAGTCAGCATTCACCAAACAATCCATTTCAACTTTGTTTTTGTTTAACTCAGCAAAAATAAAAGCATCTATCAGAATTGCTTATAAGGTTCTATTGTTCATTTTTTCAAAGGATTTTTCTGGGGGTGGGGAAGTGGGGGAAAGAGAGAGAGAGAGAGAGAGAGATCAAAGGTGGGGAAAGGGATAAAGTCTAGTAGATAAGAAGAGAAACAAACATACAGCTTTAAATATGGCTGTCATAATTTGAAACGTAGAAACAAACATACAGCTTTAAATATGGCTGGCATAATTTGAATCTTGAAATCCTACCTCCCACTGCAAATGAGGCGGGATATTTCTGATCTGAAGTTTCCGACTCCTGTAGATGAATTAAAGATAACAGTTAAAAACAAGTAAATACCAATAAAACTACACATAGCAAACCCTCTATAAAAACACATTTACTAGCATGTTAGGCAGAATTAAATTTATAAAAGAACAAAACAATGAAACAGAGAAACTTAGATCAAAACCATTTCAGTCCATGTCCACAGAACTGTTACAATAATTTGCTTTACATTTGACAGCTGTTATGCTCATAAGAGCACTTTTCTTGAAAGCTACTTTAAGTTTATATGCCTTTCCATATACAAAAGCATGTAGACAAAGCCATAAACCCATCTAAAATTACTATTTTCCCTTAAAAAAAAGTTTTCACCAAGAACCTTCCCAACCAATACTTCAATACTGGCTGCATTCTACAGCCCTTCCAAAAAAGAATATTGAATAAATGCTTGTTTTGAGATTAAGCTGGCCATTAACTTACAGAGTCTGCCTAACTGATCATATTTTAACACTTGAATTCCTAGCATTCCTCCCTTCTGAAGACAAATTCATTAACTTAAATTCAATGGATTTTCACTTCAAAATTAATAGCAAATTCAGGTCACATCATCTAGTAAACAAAATATTTACTTTGAAGTACTATTAGTAAAGCCTCATAGTACCCTAATTGGATTCACAGCCAAGTCCTTTGTTTCCTCCCTTCCCCCAAAGCAGAAAAACAAATAAATGCCAGAGAAGCCACATCACCCTTGGGATTCTCAAGAATGTGTAGATTAACAGGGCTTTGCCATCCTCAGGTAGTGTGCGTGTTGGAAGGGCCATTTAAGCTATTCTTGTAACAAATCATGAAAATGTGATCGTTTTGTATCATAAGAAATGAATTTCAAGCTTTGTTTTGGCAGGAGGAGGGAGGAACAGGGAGACTGTGGGCCAACAAAGATAAAGATGCTCCTTAGGAGACAAAGAAATATTCTCCCTCATAACAGACATTCAAACACATACTATTTCCCCTAAAAATGTGTTAAGTGTTCAAAGCTTTCTTTTAAGAGTTTTAAGGTTTGTTGTATTATACACAAAAAAAACCCCACCTCAAATCTGCCAAATATATAGATTTGGGCAAACTGCCTCCATCATAAGAGGCTATAATCATTACTAGGATATTCTTAATTGCACCACTGAAGGCATTCATTTTCTCTCTGAGTTGCTTTTAGAATATACTCCTCTCTCCTTACCTAGTTCCCACCCTCCCTTACCTCTACACCCAATTTTTATACCTTTAAATACTCTTTAAAACAAATCTGTCTCTTGCCAAAACATACTGCATCCATAAAAACTGAGTGTCCAAAGGGAACATTAATGTACAAACTTCTTACAATGGCTACATGATCTGTTAGTGAATGAAAGGGGCAATCAGGCTGACTCAAATAGAAGTTCTTATCAAAGAGTTTTGAAGATAAGTAGATGCCAACTAAAATAACAGTAGTACTTAATAGTGACCAATGTTATGAAACAGGCGGAAACATATTTGGTCATTTCTTCTGGCCATAAATTTGTAAAGGCAAGATTAAGAATTGTTTCTTTTTACTGGGGCAGAGAGAGGTAGTTAGCCATGATAGCCTGAGGAAGGCAGGGTAGAGATGCATCTTTATAGACTAAATTGGAGATGCTTAAGCTTTTGTGAGTCCAAGCTCACTTCATTAGACAGCATGTGATGAAGCCAACTCAAGCTCACAAAAGCTTAAACATCTCCAGTTTAGTTAGTCTATAAAAAGGTGCATCTCTACCCTGCCTTCTGCAGGCTATCATGGCTAACTGCCTCCCTCTGCCTCAGTAAAAAGAAACAATTAACAACAACTTAATCTTACCTTTACTAATTTATGAAACAAAACCTGGCAAGAACTTTGAGTGACTTCAACATAAAGGAATAATTTGAAGAAGTTTGTAACTTAAGGAAATATTCACAATTTCAGGTAACTATTATTTAAAGCTTTTCAGCTCTGTTCTGAAAAGCCTATATTTGTGCTACCATGTTATAACATCAAAACTTTCTGACAAAAAAAGCCAACATTTTGGGCTGATACATTACATATATTATATAATGTATTCTCATCTTTCATCTTCATTTTATGACATTCTAGGGAAAACACTGGCAATCTAAATGCTGTTCAGTGTGTTTCAAAGTGTAACAGTGTTTTGAACCCAAAAGCTTGCTTAATAATTGTTTTCCAACTATTTAAGTTGGTCTAATAAAAGAGATCAAATTCACCCAAGAAACCTTGTCTGTCAGTGTTAGTCTCGCACGTTTTTAGATTCCAATTAAAATCCATTAGAGTTCTATAGCAGGTAAATATACTGCAAGTGAATGGTAGTGACAACATATACGGCACGCCCATGACAAGTCTTAGTGGAGTTCAGGACAGGACAAACTAAGGAAGAGTCAAATACTTATTCTGAGCAGTGCAAAACTGGACAGCACGTGCACAATTTCTTATTGAGAAAAGGGGTTTGGATACACAGTGCCCTCTTCACATGTCACCTAGATAAACTCCCCACCTCACATTCTTCTTATTTCATTTCACCTCACAGCATATAAAAGATGGCTGTTTTTATGAACACATGACACGTCTCAATTTTCTACTTATTAGAGAGAAAAACTTGATGCAAGTTAAAGACTGGCCATAAAAACATTCATCACACATATCCCAGGAGTACCCCAAGTCTGAAATGGAGGAGGGGGAATCCAATGCCAAGATCCCCTACAATACTGGTGGCTATAAGTAAGGACAAAGGGAATGGAACTGAGACAGTCATAAAAAAGCTAATGTACCTCCGAATTCACCGCAATATTACGACATCTATTAATATTCTGTGAAACTGAAAGTGCACTTTAAATGAACATTGTGTTAAAAAAGAATGTTACAAATATATAAGCCATAATGGAAGGTTCATTTGAGCATCTGTCCTCCTAATACATCTCAAGCTAGTTTTTTTAATGCAGATTGGAAGAAGGCGAATAGAAAAGGGATCCAAAAAAGCCGATTCATATTACTATTGTATCATAATAATTGGAGATGGAACACATGCACAATACTCAGTGCCAACCCAAAAAGCGCTCGTGCCACCAAGAGACCACAGATGCTTTCTACTCCAACACAGAAAATGAAAGTCTCTTGAGATATTTTCTAGTTCTATTCCTATGCAGTGAAAAAGACATTTCTAAAAAAGCATGGAAGTCTCCATGGGAAAAAGCAGAAAGATGGCAACGTGTTATAATGCAATCTCTCGGAAGACCAAGAGATTATATTAACAGAAGCACAGAGGACAAAGTCTCAAACAGACTAGTACCCTGCAGAGTTTGTACTCAACATATCATACCTGCCACAACTCTTGTATGTTCTGACAACACCAGGTAGATTGTTGTCAATGAACTATTCCTGAATTGCTTTTTATCTGATACTATACCCACAGGAGAACCTTGGGAAAGTACACAACTCAACTAAATTTTCTCAGCAGAAATTACTCAAGTTATCCCAAACACATGTGAAAATTGTTTAAAAGATGCACAGAAAGTATCTCACAGCCCCCAGCTCTTCCTCCCCTACTTCAAGGAGGAAGAAAGAGAAAGTTTGGTTCCCAGATAGACTCCTAGCAGCAAGTTGTCAGGGTATCTAGTACCACTGACCCTTGCCTGGCCAAGATGGGGGGGGGGTAGTTGAAGAGATCTCTGTCAGATTGGCAGTGCAGCTGCCCCTGGGTTCTGCCCCCCTGCAGTATCACCATGACTGCTAAAGCATGAGCTCTGACAGTCATGGTGAGAAGCCCCAGAGGGGGATGTGGGGGACAGACACAAAGCAGCAGCAGCTCCCTATTGCATGCTAGCTGAAGAGCATACTGGGGACTGGAACATCTGTCTGCTCCGCTTCTTTCCACATTTTCCTAAAAGTGCAATTGAACACCCATCTAATACCATAACATTTTTTACAGACTCTCTTCAATGAAGGAATAGGCAAAGCATATTTTGCGACCCGCTAAGGAGAACCCTGAACTTTTTGTATTCTTCCAGACATTGTAAAGGTGGCAACATATTAAATGGATTTCTATTCATACTCCCACCCTTGTCCCCCCCCAGACACACACACACCTGCCTTAAACAATAATGTTTTTGGAATAAAGGGAATCAAGAATATCTCTGCATATCCCTCTGGATTAGATAAAATGTCAGTACTCTACTTATATACAGTACTTAAGTGTGTGACATTTGACCAAGGCAACAGCATGAAAGAAATTTCAGAGGTAAAATATATTTAAAAAAAAAAAAAAAAAGTTTGCAAAAACAGGAATACCAAAGTGTCTTCAACTTTTGTCCAAAAACTTAAATCTTTATATCTAGTTTTATAACTTCTAAACTTTGCTTTTACAGTGCACAATTGCATTAATAGCTTTTTAGAAAAAAAAATCCTTCTCAAAAAAATGAAAGGCTCCCCTCACCAAAGAACTAGTTTTGGAATTTTTTTAATTACGTGTTGTGCTCGAGCTATAACCACATCTATTCCATTTATTTACACGACCATGCAAAATATAATATACATATTAAAATTAGTGGCTTACGTGGGAAGAAATCTGCATAAAATCAGATATTTTAAAAGAAAATAATTTTCATATAGGAAAGAACTAACTACGTACATTTGAAAAGGTCAGAAGTGGTCAACTATCCTCTGAACATCTACAATTTTACTTCGACTCGACTGCAAAAGATTGAGCTTCATACATAAAAATAGAAGTAAACTGCCTTGATTTATAGATTCATAGATTCATAAATATTAGGGTCGGAAGGGACCTCAGCAGATCGTCGAGTCTGACCCCCTCCCCCGGGCAGGAAAGAGCGCTTTATGTAGTTAAGAACTCTATAAAGAATGGAAAGGCAATTCATTTCAGTGATGCTAGTATAGAATTGATAGATTATAACCCCCAGTGTTTAATACCAGTTAATTACCTGGAAAAGGACTTGGCAAAAACATGCCAACTAGTTTGTAA